ATGGTTATTGGCTCAATTATATGTGATGAGACAAGAACCAATACCATTTAACATCCGCCATATCCAACATAGAATCGATTTGACAATCAAGACCCATACGAGCGAAATGTCTTCCATGTCGATCATCATGCACTGAAAGACCGGCCGTACTGACATATCTGATCCGTTTTGACTTGAAAGTTGACTAAAGCTGTGGAATGGAGCCTGAAGGCAGGTAGCCGTGCGTCACCACACCCTATGATAACAAGTGGATGCACCAGGATAAAATAACAATGGATCTGGTCTGAGAATGCATGAATGCCTTCCATGAATGGTAGGTGATCACCATTGACCAGCCTCACCTATGTAACTGCTCAACCTACTTATTATATTATTAGATGTAACCACACGTACACAGCATGCATGCTATGTGCATGCGGGTAGGAATGCATATGCAAAGTGTGTACAAGCATGCTGATTGTTGGTAAGGTCCTCATGACATGGTTGCACAGTGCAGTGCCCATACCACATACAGGCTATCGATAGGGGTGATAGAAACCGCCCCTGCGGTCTGCGCAGGATACATCAGGTTGGGGTGAAAAACCTACTTCTGCTTCGCTGCAAGAGGATTTCTGCACGCTTCTGACAGACACTCTTGAGTCAAGGAGGGTCAATACCAGGGCCCCTCCGTGATCGAACCGGAGACCTGCTGATCTGCAGTCAGCTGCTCTACCACTGAGCTAGAGACCCTTCGTTTCGTCGCTGAGGAGGAAGCTGTCGTGCGCGTGTGCCGGGGAGTTGCGGGAATTGAACCCACAACCTCTCGCACCCTAAGCGAGAATCATACCACTAGACCAAACTCCCAAACATGCCATTGTTGTACGACACAAACATACCACAACATCGCAAGCCGTACATACACACACATGAAAACGCACGCATGAGACTCATATCTTGTCACCCTGGCGTCACCGGCCCCTGAAACTAGGGCAGAAGAATGTAAGGAACGCTATGCATGTATACAGAGGTTTTGTGCGCATGAATGATTTGTGATGCGAATAAACCCCCCACATCCATGTTGTGCAAACATCGGAGGTTACTGCTCTATCTACATTAAAATCCTACCCTGCCGCACTTGGCCCATCCAGCTACTAACTCATAGGCAGGGCATATAGCAGCATCTATCTGTATCCTTACAGATCTAGTAGATTGCAGCACGTGGCAGATGCTCGCCTGGTGGCACGACTGACCTTGCGGAAGCGTGGAGCTTAGGGGCCTTGCTGAGGCGGGAAGGAGTCCAACCCAGCGACAGGCACTAGCTTACATAGACAAGATCGAAGCAACTAAGACGGTGGCAGCAGAGTCTTGGACTCCGAACACCAAGTAGTCGTGATACTGAAGCTGGCCAGAGCACCCCGCCCGGGTAGCTTATATCTTGGCCTACCTGCCGGACGAATCTCTACTACGGTCCTGTCGTACTGTACTAGGATACTGTCGATGGGGCCCGGGGCCCCAGCCTGTTAGGTGTCGCTACGAACATCCGATATGTCCGTGTCATGATATTGTGTGACATGTACATGTACGGAACTTGAGTCGAATCGTCAACGGAATTAACAGGTGTTGTTATTAATAATCGTTAAAATATTTGGAGGGAAATGTAGCATACTACACAATAACATCGTCGGCTAGCATGCATAGCTATAGCTACCCCATCCAGAAATCCTACATAACTCTAGCCAACCAATTACACAGCCGATTAAATGAGACGCCCACCTAGGCCTTGAACCTACCCATGTGGCACATGTACATCCCCATGTACAGGCAGGTGCTTTAGGATGTGATGCCCACCTTCGTACTTATTACTCGACATATGCATATGAATCGCCTGCTGGTCTACATTTCTTCATGCCTATGCATGCATGCATGCATGTGTGTATGTATGTTGTTACAGGGTGGTTAACTTCGCCAGCGGCCCCCTTTCCCGGGGCAGTCCCTGCTCTCCCCTGCTAGAGGGGCACCCTAATCCGTCACCCCATCCGACTTCAGAATGTATTCGTTGGGTTCGGCAACTCACCACCAGCATCCAACCAAATCTAGCGGATCAACGGCGCATCAACTTAGTTCCTGGTCAGCTCGCAAGTTGATATTATCACGTCCTACACCGTCCATAGGATGGGGGGCCACCTCCCATTACATCACTCCTCAAACACCCGAGGAGCCGGCAGGCGGATTTGAACCCGGGTCGACTGGGTCGACTGGGAGCAGAAGTCAGGCCTTAACCTCTGCCAGCCGCCTGCCTATATGTGCATGCATGCATAGGCATCCAGCAGGCTATCGGAGCCATGCATAGGCATCCAGCAGGCTATCGGAGCCATGTACAGGAGCTCGCAAACATTAACGACGAAACTGCTATATGTCTGTATCAACCAATAAAGCTCATTCATGTCAGAACGGAATAGTGCTAGTTACGTTTTATAGATGCTTTCCATTGGCAGTGATACAGACTGAAGGCGGACGATCCTCCCTTG